GTATGGCCAAAGAAGAAATCATTTTTATGGAGTAAGGCAAAACACATCGACATTAATTTGGGGTTTTTAGAATTCGTCACCGGAATCTTTGGGAAGTTTTACTTCGGCTTCATGGGATCATCTTCTACAGTAAGAATTCCAACTATTTTAATTTTTTTTCCTTCAAAAATCCCAAAAAAAATAATACTACGCCCTAATTTGAGTTTGAAATTAATTGTTTTTATAATTCAAGAAAAACGAATGAATTTAACATTCTGATGCAAATTTTTAGAAGTTTCACAAACTTTATGTATAGTGTTACAATATGGTGTCTCTCTATTGAGTATTTAAAATTTTAAGTTTTGGAGTTAATTTATTTATTCATTATTTGAAATTGTAAAAATTTATCAACTAATTTCCGAATTGAATATATTATGATTATGACTGACTTTACTATATGGTGCTAGTCTATTATACGGCTACAATCTTCATTCAACAACTGGCAACAACTAACATGTGATCATAGAGAAATGTCTTAAAAAATCTCAACTAGTGATCTTGTGATCATACAGTGATCATGTGACCATTGCTTGTCCAGAACAAAATATATATATAAAAAAAATGTACTCATGACCATAGAGTGACACTATAAAGTGACAACATAATATCATGACTTTGGGCATTACAAACTACATGAAAAATAAATTATATGCATGTAAATAAACCATGGATCGACTCCTTACAATAGGGCAGCGACAATTAGAAATTTAATTAAAATTTTAATAATTACAATAGAGTGATACTATCTATACAATGAGTGCTTAAACTTTGTCTTGCCCACAAAAAAAATAAAATAATTATGACTGCCTTCATTTTATGGTGTCACTCTATTATACGACCATGTATTAACCACTTCATTCTACAACAGGCAGCAGTGAACTTATGAGTTATGACTATAGATAGACATTATAGAGCAACAACCAAATTTTGTCTTTTTGAATACATAATATACCAAAATCAAACTTCTGTCCAAACGTGAGACACCTCATACTGACTGTCTTCGACCATCGACTGATATCAATAGAGTGATATCATAGTGTGAAAGCCTAAATAGTGACTTGACCACTACAAATATACATAACAAATTACTTGTTTTCATAGAGCGACTATTAATTTCTTAGCGTGTTCACTACAGATTACAAATAAACATTGTACTATTCTTTTATGACACAATACTATATTATTTTTTTGTGATTTGTGTGGATTCACTATTATACAAATAATGATATTAACTAACCATCTAATGTAGGGTCAGTTGTGGTCTCTTTATTTGCTACATAATGAGGAAAATTGCACTTGGTGAAGACATAGAAGAAAAGTTAGCAGCAATACAAGTGAAAGTTTTTCAGACAAAGAATATTCTAGAATCATCACAAGTCTTGAACAGAAGATGATGTCAACGAACGGAAAACATTAAAGACAAAATATAAATACAATTGATACAGAATTTATTACATATATCTAAACTTTGTATTAAAATCATAGTTATTAGTATTGTACGATACACAATATGTATTGTACGATACGTCACGATACATAGGTAAAACGATATGAATCGGCATTTTGTATCGTTTTTGCATAGTATCGTCCGATACATGATATGTTTTTACGATACGATACGTATCGGTCGATATAAACGATACGCAAAGTCTCTGTTTAATTTTTTTTTTTTTAATTAGAAATCGTTGACAGCTTGATTTGCACCAAATCGAACCGATTCGCACCAACAAAGATGAAGACAACAGAGTTGAAGACACCCAAGCCCACAAATAAGAGAATAGAGAAAATACCAAAGAAAAGGCAACAACGATGAATAAGACAAGAATTACCAGTCCACCAAACCCACAAATTAGCAAAAACACCCAAGTAAAAGAAAATCAAACAAATTTTTGAAATTGAAAAAAATAGCAACACTAATCTGTAAATATCATGAAACCCTAGGTCTCACGATCTCTCTCTTCATCACTGTGAGCTGTGATCACGAGGTATCAGCCATCAGGTATGTTCTTCTTCTTCTTCTTCTTCTTCTCTCTCTCTCTCTCTGGCATCGACATCGCCCATAGTCATCACCTCTTCTCTCTATCTCTTTGTGTTCGTTCGTGTGACCAAAACTCGTGACTATGTTTTTTTGTTATAAGAATAAAGAATTATATTTAATACCCCTTATTTTATAACTTTTTACTTTTAAGTATACATAAGTACCATTAATTTAATTTGATACCCTTTATTATTTTTTTAATATTAATAAATTATATTGCCGACTTGAATGGTAAGTGGAATATTAATGAAATGTTATTTTTATAAGTCTATAATTTTTTTTCAAAAGTACATAAATTTTATTATTAATTATTTAAAAATACGTCATATCTTACGATACACGATATGATATGATATACCTTCTGATACGCGATTTGACAACTATGATTAAAATTTTTTGAAATGTAATTTAAGATATTGTCTCTTGGCTTGAACTACAATTTAATTTTAAAACAGTTGTAACTCTTCGGTGTTGCCCTTACATTTTATAAAATCAATGAATTCAATGAATTTTATTTTATTTTTATAATTGTATTAGTTCAAATATTACTTATTGAAGTCACTATTTGCTATCACTCTTTGTTTGAAATGTGTTATACATGATGTCATTATATGTTGTCACATTAGGATATTACTTTGTTGTTCACTCTTTTTGAGAATTATGATGTATAAAATGTCACTATATACAACCACATTTTGATATCACTCTATAGTATCTCTGTTTGATGTCACTCTTTGATATCACGGTCATTTTGGACTGTGTTGTTTATGGTGTAAAAAAAATTATCATACTACTGAGACTGAGAAGTGTACACCCAACGCCACCTTTCTAGGAAGAGAAAGAGAATGCCAGTGGAGAGAGAGAGTAACTATGGAGAGAGAACGAGTTTGAGAGAGAAAATAGAAGAGAGAGTGAAATTATAATGGAATTTTAATTTCATTTAAATTTTCAAAGTTTATACTATAGATAAAGTCCAAAAAATATTGAAAGATTCAAATATAATATTTAGATTTTTGAAAGCATGTAAGTTATGAAGAGAGAGAGAGAGAGAGAGAGAGAGAGAGAGAGAGAGAGAGAGATAATAATAACATATTAATTTTGTTTAAAATTTTAAACTGTAGATAAAATCTAAGAAATGTTGAAAATCTCAAATCTAATTTTTAAATATTTGAAAACATATAAATTAGAGGGGGAGAGAGAGAGAGAGATGATAATGAAATATTAATTTTGTTTGAATTTTTAAATTTTAAACGATAAATAGAGTCCAAGAAATATTGAAAATCTCAAATATAATATTTAGACATTTGAAAACATAAAAACTAAAAATCAAGTATGCAGTATTTATTGTAGAAGTAATTGGGTAATACAAAAAAAAAAAAAAGAATTTGAAATGTATACTTTGATGAAAAAACAAAGAATTAATGAAGTATATGTAGTACTTAGAGCCAAATAAGTTCTAAAAAGGGTTCTTTGGAAGTCAGTACACCTAATTAGACTTATTTAACAAAAAATACATAGAACAAAATATGAGTTAAAAAGACATAAATGCCCATTTTAGAGTCATTTAATTCAAAATCTCTTATCTTTAATGTATTTTGATTCATGTGTGTTTGTTAACACATATAAATATCTATTTAATGTACCTTGATTCATATGTATTTGTGAATACATGTATATATATATATGTGTGTGTGTGTGTGTGTGTATACACGTATATACGAATATATATATTTATTTATATATATATATACACACACACACACATATATATATATATTTATTGTTAAATCTCTTATTTAAATTTTGAATTATCTTTAATGCACCTTGATTCATGCGTATTTTTTTTAAAAGTGATTTTGTTTTCAAATTATATTTAATGCACCTTAATTCAAACGTTTTTTTTTGAAAAATAGTTTTATTTTCAAATTAATTTAATATCCGAATAATATAATAGTATAATAATAACAATGTAACAAAGACAGTGTAACAAATACACTGTAACAAAAACAGTATTCAGTATTTTTGTGTATATGGTAACAAATTCAAAACGGAGATAGACAATTTTGAATGAAATTATATGAAACTATATGTTTGACAAAATGTAATAGTACAATATTTTGTGTAAATAACTTGTTACACTATTATTGTTATACTGTTACACTTTTATTGTTACACTGTTACATTTTTATTGTTACACTATTACACTATTCGGATATTAAATTAATTTGAAAATAAAACTACTTTCTAAAAAAAAAAAATACATAAATCAAGGTATATGAAAAGATAATTCAAAATTTAGATAAGAGATTTAACAACAAATATATACATACATACATACATAAGTATATATATATAAACGTATATATATACTTGTTTAAATTTCAAAATTTGTATTCATGTATATATATATTAAAGTTCTCCCATAAAACTAGGTGATGTTTAATGCACCACTTTCTGAATAAAAGTGGTGCATTAAATACACATAAATTAATGGAGGACAAAAATATCACAATAAAAATAGATAAATTCAAATTATGTACTTAAATACAAATAAGTATCAAAATTAAGTACTTAATAACCCTACATTTTTTAGTATGTACTTTTTGCCAAATAAATCTAATTTGGTGTACCCCTTACAATTTACCCTTCTAAAAAATAGTACCCAAACCCAAATATCCGAAACAAGGATCCACGATCCTATCACTTGGGCCAATAGACAAGCCAATGACCAATTTGACTTTCGGGCAAGAACCGCAGATGGTTTGCCAAGTCTTAGACGTACCCATAAACTATCCATGTAGAATTCAGTCTCTTTACACAAGTACAGAGGTTTTTCGTTGGCAAAGGAGGTTGTTAAGGTCTTCATCGCTCACCACCGCAAACAAATTCACATTAGGGTCAGAGCTATGGATTAGTAAAGGCCCATTTGGGTCGAAAGCAATAACAAATGCTCATCCAGACAATACGTATTTAATTAGAAACATTAAATTTCACAATTTTAATGATGGTATGTATAACTACACAACTGCAGGGCTTGTATGTTTTTGTTTGTCATCAACAGGGTTGGAATTCAGTATTCACAAAGATAACAAGGAAAACCTCTAATGGCCAAAACGAAGTCTCATGGTTTCTGTGCAGAAAACATGATGAAGGATTGCTGAACTTTGCTTGTGTAGTTAATAAGGCCGCATGATGTACACAAATCCTCTATCTCCTCTTCATTCAAATTGTTGTAGTCACCTGCAATCCTCTATCGAGAAAAATAACAATCTTTTAAACTGAGCTGCGCATTTAACGAGTATCGGATCAATTTTTTGAACTGAAATGGACCCATAATGAAGAATAATCTACTAGGCAATAGATCCTACATAGGAGCTAATCAACTGAAAGCTGTATTACGTGGTCTATGAGAGAATTTGCTTCTATTATTATCATTCCTGGTCAACTAGGGCCTAACCCAGACACCCATGTCTTGGCCAAATGTAACTCCAACGGATTACATAGTGGAACAACTCTCATTTATTATTATTATTATTTGGTTGGGAAGAGGGGGAGGGGGTGCAGGGGGGTTATTGAAAAAAAGCATGAGATGAAAATTAGTATAACCTGCTGTCTGAAAGGCCCCAATATCGCAGGAGCCGACGGACTGTATCGGAGGAAAGTTGTTCCCACAAATACACCACCACTTCGCAAGATACGATTGATTTCAGCAACCTGCCACATTCAGAGCAGATAAGATGAGTTCAAATTCAGGTTTACATCAATATTAAGACTGTTATGAAACTACCAAAAATGATGGCAAATTTTCACATGATTCACACAATTACGAGATAGCAAACCACATAAGCTCCTGGCTATTGTCTACCCCTTGGCGTTACCACATTTTCTACACTCACTGAGAAAGCAGTTGCAAATTTGCATGAGCAGGAATGTTGGATTTGCTACTCATTTCAATATACTCGTCTCACAAGAGAGGCGCCACCTAGGCGAACGTTATATTCCATCCATTATCTTGAACCCAAATCTTTTTGTTTACATAATCTATAAAACTTCTCTGCAGTCACGAGAATAGACATCTACACCATTAGATATATTCATCCATCTCAACTTCTCAATTCTTTGTTTTTCCTTGTTCCTTCCTTTTCTTTTTCTTATTTGTGGGCAATTGAGGGCTTGGACAAAATAACCATTATCAGCAAAGCAGGTAGTTTTCAGCATTTGGGTATGTGGAATATGTCAAAATGTCCATTCCATAAGATTTTGGGCTTTTTAAAAGTCCACGCTTGTTTCATTTAGGGCAGCAATGAAGTTGATACCCTTTTCACTGCGTTCGGTAGGTGGTAATGGAGCATGAGAATGGAATGACCATTACTTGGTAACGCTCATTCCCAAGTTTGGAATGTAATAATGAAAATTCATTCCCATTCCTGAATGCCTAATCCCATCAATATCGGATTTGTCATCCCTCAATATTTGGTGGTATTTATCATTCCCAACTACCATCATTTGTCACCCCCCCCATGGGGTCGGTTCTGGGGTCAGTGTCTAAGGATTTTTCAAATATTTGTATATCTAAATATTTGAGTGGATTTTCAATTCTATTTCAAGCTGTTAATCCAAGTTGCCAAACATTGGATTAGTAATATACATTCCATTCCATTCCTACCTTGATTCCATTCTCACCTTCGTTCCATTTTCTTGTAAAACCATTATTACCACGTATTAAACGCAGTGAATTCATTGAGAACCTATTCCAGCAGGGAGTTAAAGAAACAGAGGCAGGACTTATACAGAATAAGCACAATACAAGTACTCTCAAGGAAATTATAACAAAAAATAAGAAAAAATGGAGAATTTACTGCATTGGAAGGGAATGGCCAACAATGCAAGGCTGCGCCAGCATGAATGGCATCAACTGAACATGATGAGAAGGGAAGCCTGGAAACATCTGCCCTGACAAGAGCAAGATTGCTGCACAAGTTCCAACAAAACAATTCAGGACAGGCATCTCTTTATTCATGCAAGAGCTGAAACCCCTAAAGAACCTTCAAAAATAAATGTCCACATCTAAAAATTGCAGCACCTGACTTCAGCATGAAAGGGGAACAGAAACTTACGAGGTAATAATTGTATCATCATTCTTGATGAAATCATAACACTGGCGAAGCATATTTTCAGAAAAATCAAGGGCAACAACTCTTGAATAGGTCCCAGATTTGGCAAATTTCCGAGAAAACAAACCACTCCCACAGCTAACATCAATGAGAACACCACCTTCAGCTGGTTTAAAATACTCTTGAGCCATTTTGAACTGCAAGAAATTAAGATCTAAAGTAGATAGTTCACACAATAGCTAGCATAATATGCGGAAATGGACATGAGTAAGGCAACATAATCTAGACAGGAAAAGCTATTTATAAGCCAAAATAGTATATCAGGCATAAACAGTAATCCAATGAGAAACGGGTTTGAAATCCTCTCCAATCTGCACAACTACTGGACTGAGTGAGAATCACCCAAACCAAGATTGAATTGAGTTGACAACAATTTTTTGTACACCTTTTTCCTGCAAATTTTACTAAGACAAAAGGAATGGAAAAGAAAACAAAAGGAAAAAATACAAGAAGGTTGAACTACAATCACAACCATAACGTATATCGACACCCTAAATTTGATAATAAATCATCGAGAATGGTCCCTCTCACAGTAGGTCATTCTCGATGACCGTCTAACTACGAAATTAGTTAAGAGTGCAACTCAACTAGATGAACTAGATTCCAGTTCAAATTCAACTTTGACTTCCTCCATCAAGGATGGAACATAAAAGATGATGCAGACTAGTACACTAATGAACTCAAACATTAAAGTTTCCTGAGTTCCAAGTTCGGCACTGCATTTAGTAATTTACAAGTCAATCCGCTTGCTGGACACCACTTACAAAGAATGTTTCACTCATCCTCAATCCTCCAATCATTCTAGAAATCACTCCCTCTCTAAAAGACATTCCTAATCAGTCCAACCAGCAAACCCAAAAACTAAAGGGAAAAAAAGGAAAAATGAGGCCTCGAAAGCAGCTACAAGCAAGAAAAAAATTGAGAAGCTTGATCATCTAGGTGAGAGAGAATATTTTCTTGAGAAATGTGTCCAGTATATCTGAAGTGTGCACATGAGTAAAAAGTTAAGGGCACAAGCCTGCAAATTCTGGGGCAATAAGCATGCATTTAATCGGTCATTATGAGGGAAGTATCTTCATTATATAAACTCCACAATGCTAATCGTTTATAGGTTATCAGGCATTGATTCCATTAATAGAACAGATGATAGTTCCATCCCCTCCATACTAAAAGGAGACACAACAAGTGCACGTGATAAAGATGTCTCCACTTTAATTTTATTTTACAATAATTAGTCCATAGAGTTCCTAACCCAGGATATATACCTCTTCATCGGGACCAGGAAAACCGCTAAGGTTAAAGTTTTGCCGCCAGCCTCTTTCATACAAAAAGGAAACAAGTGGACTCCTAATAAAACCGAGATACCAATGTTAGACAAGCATTTTCCCAAATGACATAAGTCTCCTATATCACATAAACATTTGGTATAAATTCATGCATTTTCAGCAGAACAATTGGGCTCCCAATAAAGAAGTAATGTGAAATGTATAAACAAGACAAAGGGTAGACCTAGAATTTCACATGGAGCTATCTTAGGGCCTTCCGTAGACATGCCTTGGGTAAAATTATACCTAGTTTCATGTTAGATTTAAGATTATAAGCTTCTGGTGATTTAATCGTAAGTCATACTACAGGTAAAATTAGTAGAATAAGCAGACAATGGATAGTCATGTGATATTTCCATTCATGAGAGTATTTCTAGATAATATGAGATTACCGTAAAAATGTCGTATGAAGGGCCACACTGTGCCTTAGAAATTCATTTCAGGTTCAAATGGCAAATGAGAATCTACAATATAAACCAAATAGGAAATTCCAATACAAAGAACACAACTGTCAAAATTTATTAGGCTTTGATTATATTTAACTACCACGGAAAACACAATTAGCAAGTAGGTTCAAACTTCAAAAATACCATTTTCTACTTTCCCCTGTTCATATACAAGCTTAAATACTGAAGGGTCAACATATTTCGAATATATTTTAGGAAAAATTAATGATTCTGTTAGAATGTCCTGAAGAGCAGTGAACATACTGATTGTGGTTTTTTATTTTTTACGTTTTAATTTAATATCTTCCTTATTATTCTTCAAAACTTCTTAAGAACTCTAACAACTTTAGTGTTCAAATGCAATTAATTGTCAAAAATTAATAAGATCAACATTATCTATTTGGAGTTGGCACCCAGCTGAGTTGCCACAAAAAAAAATATAAAGATAAAAATAATAAAATAAAAATATACCACTGTATCAGAAACTTGCAACATGCATATCCATACAAAGAAATTATCTAAAGATTAAAAAATAAGCCTTTAAGGTGTTTAGCATTAACGGGCCTTTGGTCGAATGGTACTCCTTATTTTGTGGAGGCTTTGCCTTCTTGAAGTCAAGGGTCCAAGCCCCCTTTCCCCCTCCCCTCCCTTCCCTCCTCCCAAAAAAAAAAAAAAGGTGTTTGGCACCAAACTTTCCCCACACCCTATGTCACATCTCAAAAGTAAGGAACACTCGAGAGGGTCACGCATTGCCATGAGATTGACTTTATGTTCAAATTGTCAATGAGCACCTCCAACATTTTCAGAATAGTAGATTTTAATACAAGCAAGCCAAATGCTAAACTTTCCTCAAAACATTAAATTTCTTAAACTATTGAGGCAAAATCCATAAGCAGATTGGTCCATAAGTTCCTTTTGTCACTTCCTGTTTATATCCAACTCCAAGTGTCAATAATAAGAAAGTAGATCTCCAATAGTTATGTCCTATGGCATGGCATTAGGTTTCATGATTTTAGCATATGGAAAAAAAGTAAAAATAGAAAGCAAAAGTCAAGTCATTGACCACCAGTTCAACATTGATATCATAATTGTATGTATAATATCACTGCTTGTAATTATCAAGCAAACAAGTCAAAATGAATTAAGCATCAGATCAAGACATTCTAGTCGTAAACTTCAATGTCTGATACAATATGGAGATGGACACCATGTACTCGTACCGGAATAACTCAGTCCTAGCTGGTTTAATTTCAGTGTAGGCCTTTGTTCCAGCAGTAACAGTGAGATCCAGATAGATATTTTTGCTTGAATATGATTTGGTACACTTCCTACATTTAAAACCAGACCTGTATATTGCTGGCCTGCGGGTTTTGCAGATTTTTAAGTCAAATACTAATAACATCAGATATGCAACAATATCACCATGAATTTTGTACTCCAACTTACAAGTTAAAACCTGAAGGGCCTTTTCTTATTAGTGGTTCATAACATACCGGACAAGCAAACAAGTCAACTTCCATCGTATCTTCTTGGGGTTGAGTGCTTGACTCCTGAAAATCAACCATGACAAAACCCAACATAAGCTGACAGATAAAGGACAATTCTGAATACTCTGCATAATATGTTTTATTAAGTATAACAAGATCAATGAACATGGCTATGTTAATGATCTCCCAACTAGCGCTAAGGATACCAAGTGTCAAAGATGCAACAAGGTAATAAACTGAACTATGAAATGGATATTGGTACCATAAATGCGGCTAAAGGTATGATGCGATTGTGTTCTGTAAGTTTGGTTAACCAAAACACAGAATCAAACCATCCAAGAAAAGACACAATCTACATTGTTTGCAACCTTCTTATTGCTCTTGTTACTTGAAACACCACAAAATCGACCATATATGAAAATATGTATGTACATACATATACACATGCATATATCAACTCATTTCAAATAATGTATAGCATATTCTGGAAAAAGAAGGAAAACATCTCAATTTTTAATTCCCAGCTACATACATGTCAGGGTTCTAACGTGACTAAGAAAGACAATATGGAAGGTCCTTGTCACAGTATACTCTGCTGCCTTGATAATAGATCATTCCAAAATAAGTCTTGGAAATCTTTTGAAATTCTAATAGCAATCACACTAGTGTGCCCCAAGAAAAAAAAATATGCAAAACCACAACTATCTTCGATTGAATTACATTTACAAACAACTGTCAAAAGTAAAATTTCAATCAGATCAAATTTAAGCAGCCTTATTTTGATGCAACCAATGAGAGCATCTCCGATACCCACTGTCTTCTAAGCTTCTTATAGCATAAGAATTCCAGCAAAAGTGCAGCATGTCATAAAGAGAGTCCAGATTAGACCATTTTCATTTCTAAAATCTCTTCAATTTCTTTCAATCTATTATGTATCAATGGTGGATCAATTATAACACACTGTGTCCCACATGAATTTATCATTTACGTTAGGTGATTACTTGAAAATACTTGGAAGGGATTGAAATTCCGAATTCCAGAGGAGCCTTACTTAAACATTTCTATTTTTAAACATTCGAACCCTCAACATGAACTATGACACTATAAACAAGCAACATTTGATACTCTATAATCAACAAGACTCTTATACCACATGTAGAAATAGTACCAAGTAACAAAACACACCAATACCGTCATCCACACTTAGCATTGGACAACAACAGAAACATTCACATACATTCTCCTACAACAGTTGCCAATCTTTCATTTCATGATCTTAATCAAAGCCATTTCCATAAGAATCACGAACGCAAATTTAATTTTACTCGAATGAAAATAAACTGAAACAAAATTGCGGGTCTTTAAGTTCTATGTTGCATTTGTGACTTACATTTGTACTACTAACTAACAATATATTACAAATTTTCCTTTCTTACATTTTCCTACAGTTTCTAGACAACCAACCAGAGTATACAACACAGAAGAGAAAAAGAGAGAAAGAATTACCGGTTCTACGGCGACTAATGAGGTTGCACGAATATTGGAGGGGAACTGGAGAGAGGAAAAGTGTGGAGGAGAACGAAACAGGGAATTATGACAAACAGAACGGTATTTGGGGGAAAACAAATTGTGGTGAAGAGGACGAAGCGAAAAAGAAGAAGCGGAATCAGCAATTGCCATCCTTTCTATATATGACGATGGTTTTCTTGAGATTCTATTGCTTTCTCTCTCTTCTTCTTTCTGTTGGCTTCAAGAAGAAAATAAACATAAAATCCTAAACTTATATACATGGGTGATTTGAGGAGAGAAAGGGAAAGAGGAGAAAATTGTTTTTGTTGGTTTTGTTTCATTTTTGTGTGGACGCAGAGAAAGTACAAACCCAGTTCTAAAAACTAGAGTCATCTTAAGCTGTGATCGTAAAAGTGACAGAGTATACTTGTTTGCCTCGGTCGGATGCAAAGATTCGGTGTCACCGCGTGGGCGTTCCAAAAGGTGATAATTATCCAATGTCTATACCGGTCTTATTTTAGTACATCAATTCGAGCCTAATTAATATTTACAATAAATTATGTATTTGACCCTTAAATTATAATTCTTATGTCAATCTAAATTCTTAATTTTTTTTTTAAGCCAATTGTAACTCTAAACTATCTAATTTTTTCAATCAAGCTCTTTTGTCTGTCTCCATTAAATTTTTTAATGAAAAATTCTGGAGTGTGCTAGTCACATGATGGGCAAGAGCATTTTCCTGGAAATTACCAGCCTTTGGCCCCAAATTTTCCTCCACTGCGTCATGTGAGAGACATGATATATATGTGTTGTTCTCTCCATTCTATTTTGCTGGAAACAGAGCACTGTGACTGCAATAGAGAGAGACAATTGTGAAGGGGGAAAAATAGAGAGAGTGAAATATTCATGGAAGTGTTTTGTAACTGTAGAAAAGGGCAGTGAGGAAGACTTCTTGGACTGATCAGAATCCTGGAAGGAGGTTCTTGACCGTCCGAATGGTGCGGTAAGGTTCTCTAACATTTTGATAATAAAATTCTTGCTTTTATTCAATTATCAGAGATGTGTGGTCGTTTATTTTGTTATGTTTTGTTTCAGAATTCTAGTTGTTGATTTTTCAGTTGGCAAGATTCACCAATGTGTGTGCGAATCGCAACAAGTGATTCCGGGACTACTCAGACGATTGAATAGAGTAGAGGCTGAAGAGAGAAGATGCTATGGTTGGAACTAGTTATTTGTTGTCTCATAGTTTGGATACTTTGAAAAGGGAATGTAGAGGTCAATGACGCAGGGGAAGACAGAAAATGTAACTGCCATGTGCAAGAATGAAGCGTTGTAATGTAATTTTAATGGGGTGGTGAATGGGTGAAGATTTGTAATGTTAAATGAGGCTCAATTGGGGAAATTTTGTAATGACACAACTGATGTTTATTTTGCACCAATCCTTTGATGCTAGTGCTGAAAATTTTTCTGGAACAAAACTGTGCTTTTTACGCTTTATCTGTGACTCTTTGATGCTTATATCCTGTGATGCTACTGCAGAAAAAAAATCTGCTTCTATCCTTCGATGCTTATATTTTGATTATTGGAATGAATTCGGAAATACTGTGATGATACTGCTAAAAAAAATTTGCAACCAAAAGTTTGCTTTGGCATTCAAGTACACAACAAAATGAAATTCACAGTCAAGAACCACAAATGTTGGAGAACATCAAGGTGTTCACCAAACATACATAACCAAAAATTGTTCAAATTCTGGAACCAAAAGTTATCCAGCACACACAACCCAAAAAGTTGGCCAACACACATAACCTAAAAAAGTTGTCTGCACATAACAGAAGTCACTTAGAATGTGGGTTTGGATGAGCTGCCTTCCTCTTAACCTTTAGTTTGGGCCTTCCTCTTTGGCTTGCAATAGTTTGTTGACCTACTTGTGATCCTACAATTACAGTAGGATGCTGACTTGCTTGTGAGCCTACATTTGTAGTAGGTTGCTGACTTTCTTGTGAGCCTACAGTTGCATCAGTAGCTTGCCCTCTTATCCCCTTCTTGCCTTGCCCCTTGCAACTCCTACGATTGTGACCATTATTTTCTCATAGACTGCAACTCACTTGTCTTATTCTTCCCCAGTTTTCCTTATTTCCTGCTTTCACAAGCTTCCCTTCTTCTTTGCTTCTTAGGTCTTCCGGGCTGAACAGTCACAATAGGTGGAACCAGTGGTCTCTTCCCAGAGTGTGGCCATAAATCTTGACCATTTACTGAAAGGATAATGTTATCATATGCCTTTATAAAAATATATTCTGGGTGATAGCCGAGACTGCATCTTAGCATGGAATTCTACACAGCTGCCATTCCCTACATGTGGATGTACTCTCTCTCAAATCCACAACATATTTAACATATGGTTCTTGCACTTTTAATTTTGGTCCACCTGACTACTCACAAATGAAGCCTATTGCATCAGCAGAAATCTTGTCCAACTTCTTCTGAATCCAAGGGCACAATGGACCAAGCTGTGTTCTCATGGCATCCCTATAATTTTTGGCCCTCCTCATCATCAGAATCCTAATTGTCTCCATCAATGTAATGATATGGTTTTCCCTTGCTTCTTTGATGAAGGCATTAAATACCTCACAGTGGTTATGAATCAAAATATCACCAAGTATAATCAAAATATCAGAAGTAAATTTGGTTTGTAAGTGTGATCTACTCCAATGATCTAGAGACACACCTGCATCTAACCATTGAAATGTTTTTTCATCCATCTCCTTCAATTTTGCCATACATTTTTTAAAATACTCCATAGTGGTTGCCCTGGCACACTTCCAAAACATGTCTGGGAAAGTCTTGCCCTTGAATTCTTTGCTGAAATTGACTTGGTGGTGTCGAGCACAAAACATTTTCTCACAATTTAGGAGAATTTGTTGAATTGTTGGGACCAACCCCTGCAATTGCAATATAGTTATTACCTCAAACACAAAGTTACAATTACCATAAACAATTAATGAAANGACTTTCTTGTGAGCCTACAGTTGCATCAGTAGCTTGCCCTCTTATCCCCTTCTTGCCTTGCCCCTTGCAACTCCTACGATTGTGACCATTATTTTCTCATAGACTGCAACTCACTTGTCTTATTCTTCCCCAGTTTTCCTTATTTCCTGCTTTCACAAGCTTCCCTTCTTCTTTGCTTCTTAGGTCTTCCGGGCTGAACAGTCACAATAGGTGGAACCAGTGGTCTCTTCCCAGAGTGTGGCCATAAATCTTGACCATTTACTGAAAGGATAATGTTATCATATGCCTTTATAAAAATATATTCTGGGTGATAGCCGAGACTGCATCTTAGCATGGAATTCTACACAGCTGCCATTCCCTACATGTGGATGTACTCTCTCTCAAATCCACAACATATTTAACATATGGTTCTTGCACTTTTAATTTTGGTCCACCTGACTACTCACAAATGAAGCCTATTGCATCAGCAGAAATCTTGTCCAACTTCTTCTGAATCCAAGGGCACAATGGACCAAGCTGTGTTCTCATGGCATCCCTATAATTTTTGGCCCTCCTCATCATCAGAATCCTAATTGTCTCCATCAATGTAATGATATGGTTTTCCCTTGCTTCTTTGATGAAGGCATTAAATACCTCACAGTGGTTATGAATCAAAATATCACCAAGTATAATCAAAATATCAGAAGTAAATTTGGTTTGTAAGTGTGATCTACTCCAATGATCTAGAGACACACCTGCATCTAACCATTGAAATGTTTTTTCATCCATCTCCTTCAATTTTGCCATACATTTTTTAAAATACTCCATAGTGGTTGCCCTGGCACACTTCCAAAACATGTCTGGGAAAGTCTTGCCCTTGAATTCTTTGCTGAAATTGACTTGGTGGTGTCGAGCACAAAACATTTTCTCACAATTTAGGAGAATTTGTTGAATTGTTGGGACCAACCCCTGCAATTGCAATATAGTTATTACCTCAAACACAAAGTTACAATTACCATAAACAATTAATGAAACAAAGTTTATAAACTTTGATATTTAGGTTGATTTGACCCCCCAATGTCATGCCAAAGTAATTCTATAAACCAAGTCCATGAGTCTCTATTCTCCTTCTCAACCATTACATATGCAATTGGGTACATCCCACCATTAGCATCAATCCCCACAGTTGAGAGCAACTGGCCTGGATAAGGTCCTTTCAAGAAACAACCATCCAAGCAAATGATTGGTCGGCAGGCAGTCAAAAATCCCTATTTCAATGGCCCAAGACAACACTACAACCATTTAAATCTTGGATTTTCCCCTCTTGGAATAGCGTCATCCACCTTCACAATCATAGTAGAACCTGACATTGACCTCTTAATCTTTGCACAATAATTCTATATAATGTGATATTGCTCTTCATGACTGCCATCAATTAAACTCAGGATTTCTTATATCCCTCTCAATATTGAAGTCACGAAACATACACCTAGCTTGACCAGAATCTTCATCATCAGATGTCATTTGACCCCTTAAGTCATCATACATATCATCATCAGAGATGCAGATTTCATCCCCAAGTTCCTTTGATGGTCTCACACCAACTTCAACTGATGGCCCCAATTTCGAGTTAGAATTTACTCCATTGCCTTCAACTATGTTATCAACATTGGCATCAACCAATAAATCATCATCAGTCATTCCATAATCAGTGTCATTACCAGTTGCTAAATTAAAGTTATCAGAGCCAAATGAATTGTGCTCATTTCTCTTATCTTCATTTCTACCTACATCAGCTTCATGCATTTCTGGATTATGCTCTAAGTATATCTCAACTACTGCATATATTGGTATCCATTACACCGTTGAAAGTATGTCACTGTCCTTATCCAGTATCCTTATTCCACTTATGGCATCCGTTGCAAGAACCCTATACCCGCATGCGCTCAAACAGGGGCGGAGGGAGGCATGGGCCACGGTGGGCAAGTGCCCCCCTCAATTTTTTTTTTAATTAGTTAGGTATATATATTATATATTTGTATAATATATTATTTGTGTCCATCCAAAGCTCAAGATAAAAATGTAGAGCCCATATTATTTACTCAAAAGAATTAAAAAATTAAGTCCATTTACCCAACCTTATTAAAAAATCAAATGTTTCACCTATCACAATCCACTCAAACCTATTGAAAAAATAAAAATTTTGGCCCAACATTAAAAACAAAACTTTTGTCCCCCCCTCAATTTTTTTTTTTTTTTTGTGAAAATTGGAAGTGAGTCTCCCTAAATGTACTTGTTTGGAGATAAATCATGCAAGGAAAGTTATAAGAGCCTAAGTCCTTGTTTAAAATTATATGTAATGACTTAAGTCCACTTTTCTTTTTTTATCTCAAAAATATCCTTCTTTGAAAGAAGGTTAAATTAATTTCCTATTTTGGATATAGTTATCCCTTAATTCAATGTCAATTAAA